AAGAAAACATAACTGATTTTTCCCGTAGCTAGGCTATCCATTCCAACAGGACTACAAACTCAAGCAGAGCAAGCTCCAGTACACCTTGTATTTCTCCTTCCAGGCATAACAGACCCTATTCCATTCACTTCTACACTAACAAAAGACAGAAAATATTCATCTTACACTCTTGAAATACCCCTAGGACAGCTCTTATCCACCACATTTTTCAAAGGCTCACGAATACTTTGAGCAAACATAGGGTCATTTGGGAAGAGGATCTGGGTGTTCGGACAGGTCCAGTCAAAGTTGCTGTCATCCAGCTCTGTGTATTCTGTAGTCTGAAATGAAAGATACAGATCACCTGTTAAAAATGCAGGCTACATTATTATACGAAGAAAATAGCCCTACCCTTAAATAATCTGCGTACTCAGGCCATACAGCAGCTGAGTGCAATAAATGTCCTACAACCACACAGATTCCAGGAATGAAGAATACATCACTCTTCTGTGCAACACCTTGTAATAACAAAGGGTAACCAGTGCACTACAATCCTTTCGAGGGATAAATAAATACACCACCAGTTCTATCTTGTTGTAAGATATCATTGTATCTTAACAAACTTTATCCACAGTTTCTATACATTTTTTTGCAGAAACAGCTAATCCTCTACTGGCAAACAGTATTTCTCAAGCCCACTCATGACATAGCTAGTGCCCCTGTGCTGGACAACTAAAGGAAGTAGTTATGATTTCATTTGATATTGCCTTTATGCTGCTGGACCAGCTGTAGGTCTTAGGTCATTCTTGCTTTTTATTACTAAGAATGTCACATCTGTTCATACAAACAAAAGATTTTCCTTCTCAGGAGCCGTACAGACTTGGAAGTCTCAATGGGCAAGGCTGAATCTATATATAATTCAAACAATCGCTATTTTCAGAAAAGATGACAGAGTTAACATTTGCAGAAATCACTGCTTGGTAACATGTGAAACCACATGGAACACGTACAGTGATTTGGAGCCATATTTAGCCTGTTCTTAGTTTTGCAAATAGCTGGTTGGGTAACTGGCAAGTTAATGTTCTCACCTATAAAAATTACTGTAGTATTTATCTACTTGCAAAAAAAACCCCAACCTGTTTGCAACATATTAGCTAATTACAAATCAAGTATTTAAGGTTCCCTAAAAAACAAGGCCTAAAAGACTATCAGTTTACTGGAATGAACACTTTAAAGTACCTATGCTCTCATAGTGACGAACAGTAGTCACACTACTTAAGAAATAAGGTCTTGCAAACACTATTGCAAGCATGAGCGCAGTAGGATGTGACCTTTCCTGTTTATGAGAATAAATACAAACAGGACATTGGGCCGATACTACCATCTCACAGACATTTTGGCTCACTAGCACTGTGTTTATATTAAAAATAATTGACACATTCCAATTTTTCCCCATCACAAATTCCATAAAAGAGTAACACACTCTTCTTCAGAGCCTTTTAGCCATTTAACGTATTTTGTTAACACCATTTTCAACCGATCTTTCTTACTTTATTATACACGTTAGCAGCTTTGACTTAGAGAGCTTAAGAAAACAGTATCTGAAATTTACTCTATCCTCTTTATTAGCCTTTTATAAACATTTGTGGTTCTCCAGAGAAGTACATAGGTTAGGCCAGCACCCCCCACAGTATTAGCTGTGGGAATCCTGTCTGTCTCAACTTCTCACATTTGGAATGACAGTTACATAAAATCTCCCTTCAGACCCTTCAGAGAACTTCTCACATAGTTTAAAAAGTAATCCCTGTTTCCAAAACTCAAAGACAAAAGATGATAAACACTCAAGTAAAGAACGTTTCAGAGAGGGTGCAGGATCTCCACCATCAAGGAACATGAAAAACCAACCCCATGATCCACTAAATGTATTACAAATGTTAGATATAAAAAGTAATTAAATTTTTTTCACTGTCTAATGCAAGAGTCCATAAAATGGTGCTTTCTACTCAATTATAAGATTTCTCTGGGACACATGGCTTGACACACAACATGAGCATTTTCCTCTGATCCAGGCATTATTGTAAAAGGTAATTTACATCCCTGATGCCCGAGACACCTCTCTCTCCACTTTCTCATGTATTTCTTTTACTTGACAGTGGTATTATTGCCTTAAAGATAAATTATGTCACATTATTGAGCATAAAAACAAACAGAAAAAAAAAGACAACTATTTGTGATGCTGCATGGCACAGTCGTATTGGCACAGGTTATTTCAGAAGGTTAATTTATAAACTCTTAAGTGTTCTCACATTTACACAATAGATGCCTATTGCATGGACTAAATCAATTAAATATACCAAAAGCTATAGCTGTATCTTGTCAGACTAACTTTGTAGCAGTCTCAAAAAACCTTTCAAAATTTGCCAAGGTTTCACGTAGTAAATTAAACAACACAAAGTTAAGCACGTTGTTGCAAATGTTTTAGAAAAAATAATAGAAAATAAAGATGAAGATAAAAAGTGTGTTATTTTCAAATTTATACAGAGATGGGGAATAATTTTCTTTTTAAATACTGTTATCGTCCGCAGCTTTTTTCTCAAGATTCAGTGGTGCAGAATTCAGTCATGGAAATATTATTTACACTCATGTGACTGGCACTGTTTGTATGATGAAACAGTTTGTATGAAACGAAGCATTATAACTAGTGTACTTCTTCAAACTAGGATTTTGCCTGATTTTTCTTTCTTTTCCTCTCATAAAAGAAAGGAACGGCTTCAAACCACCATTAAATCTGATTTAGATCTGAGCAGTTACTTACGCTATTTTTTTTAGAGATGGTTTGGTTTGTAGTGGAAAGCCAAAGTGGTAATAGATGAGCTTCTGTAGTGAAGATGTAATCTTCAATGTCAAAAATCATGTCTTCCTTATCAGCAAACAGCAGGTAAAGATATTTAAACATCTCAGCCAGAAAGAAAGAGTCCATTCTGTGGAAGGAAGTGGATGTTGTTTAGGAAGATTTCCTTTTTTCTAGAACTTCCATAAAACAAATACTCATACTGCTCCTTCTCTGAAGACTTCATGACTTTTACTGTTGAACTTAATTCCGTTAGCATTCCTTCCATTTGGAAGAAACTATGTTTGGAGGGAAATGATTCAGCATATGTTCAGTACAAAACAGCATTATAGAAAAAAATAAACCTCTCTATTAACTTCTAAGTAGAAGTGTATTTTGTTTGAAAGTAATTAATCTATTGCTCTGAGACAAGTGATTTATTATTAAACTAAAAATATTCTTACCTAGCAAACCAAAACTATTGCAATAGTTGATAGACCATGACAAACAGGTAATTTAAGACTTGGTTATCAAACTGAAAACAGACAGCTACTCAAAAGTCAATTAATTCAAGTATATAAACATGGTAATTAGGCTTTTTTTCCTATCACCTTTTTATGGAAAAAAATAATTGCAAGAACTTTTACCTGTCTTCATGACTTCCTGTACGAACATCCTTCATTGCAGCAAACCCACAAGGTACTCTTGCATACTTGTTCAAGTTTTCAATGAGTGTTTTTCCTACTTCTAGATAGTAAGGGTCCCCAGTAGCCTATAAAATAAAACCAAACAAAACCCAAACCCAAACATATAGGTACACTTAGACTTACTGTATAATTAACAGCTTTCATTTTCCTAATGCTAACTTATTGATTCCATACCTTCTCAGACATCAGTATAATTTATTAATAGTGCTAAACAGTCATAAGATAGACTTCTGAGATACTACTGCATTACCTTTTATGGATGTACAGATAAGCACGTGGAAATACAGAAACACAAGACGTTCAGGCACTGCTCTTCTCTGCAAGGTACAAATGGCTTTTGCTCTTAGTCTCTAAGATCTCTTTATCAGAACTCAACAACACCTAAATATCTTTAAAAATATGGGCCTTTGTCACTTAATAGTTTTCTTTCTAATTCTGGGCACGTAAAACAAAATTCCTAGAACAATTTTTGATAACCAGTTCTTTCACCTTATTTACATACAGAACTGGCTCCAGTAGATAAAAATAAGCTGGAGATAAGCTACTCATTCTAGATTGAAATAAAACATCAACAAAATCCTAGGTGCTAGACCAAGTGACCAAAAGTCAGAGGAATGAAACTGATCTTACCTTATACAAGAAATAAGTGCTTTCAGCAAATTCAGGCCTTAAAGGATGCTGAGCCCAGTGAACTCTAAAGTCTGTTGTGAATGCCTGAGGACAAAAAAGACAAAAATAAATGCAAGAATGAAAATCAAATACAAGTTTATTTTGAATCCTATGTTAACTCTACTACAACAGCTGAAGGACACACAACAGTGGAAGACTGAAGGCCCAATATCAATCTCAGGAGGCTACAAGAACCTCTATCCAATTAGTACTTTTGAGGCCAAAACCTAAACCAGTACTCCAGTCCGCTTAGTATGAGTGAGATTTAAGCTTGTGTTAGTGCAAGAGCCCGGACACCACTCAGCCTCTTGACAAGTGTTCAGCAAGTGGAGTTCTGGCAAGAGGTGCCAGATGAGAACTTGTGCTCCAGACCCAGGAGGCAGTACGCAGCCTCCAGGGGCTCTGGTCAGCCCAAGCACACAACTGCCGCTGCAATCCAGCCAAAGCAGCCTGTTGGAGGGCCGCTACATAGAGACCACCCGAGCTTTCACAAACACCATTTTTGCAAACATACCTACCACCTGACGCTTCCAGTGCATTAAACTGTCATTTCAGGTTGACAGGTGGTAAGCAGCTGTTTCTAACATATGAAATATCACAGACTAAAAGCCAGTTATCTACAAATTTCCTACTCTGTGTATTCACTCTTAATATGCACTGGCAAAAGCCACTTCTGTCATGGCTTACATTCACTACTAGTTCATACTAGGGTTTAAAGTATGTCTTTGCTAAAGGGGATGGCATATTGGCTTAAATGCAACTAATTGATCTTTCAAAGTTTCCTTCATAAGTACAAAGCACTGACAAAACAACCAAAAAAAACCCTGAAGGAGCCAAATCATTTAACTTTAAAAGCACTCAAAAATATCATTCCATATCCACATTAGGTGAATGCAATGTAAATTAAAATGTTCTCTAACAGAAATAAACTTACAGCAAAGTCAAAATTAAAACTGGAGTCGGAAGCTTTCCCTTATATTCTGGGTCATCACAGAATAAAAAAACCCCATACTTCAGCAGGTAAACAAGCTCTTCTGTGCAGCATTAACTTGCTCAAAGACTGCACTTGCTATATATACAGGTAAGTTTGTGTACCTACTTCAAGGACATTATGCAAAATTTCAGAACATTATCTCAGAACAATTCAGTCTTTAGTTTCCCCTTTTGGGTTAAAAAGATGACTGTGATTACAGCATTAATGCGATTACATACTAAGCAGCTACTACTACATGTGCTTATACAAGTTTTGCACACTGCAATGAGTCAAGGTCAATTTTGAAAGGCTGAAATATAAAATCTAAGCAATTATTAATAGCAGCACCTTCCTATTTTTGTGTTAATTACAGCCTAATTGAAGGAAAAATATTTCATATCCAAAACACAGTTGTCATACATACAGAACTGCAAATCACGTAAGAATGCTGTGGAAATGAGCCTTTGGTTTTATTTACAGATATACCTAGTATTTTTTCAAACATGTACCTGAGACTGCTCAAACTGAGGTAAGACTCAGTTTACATGGTCAAAAAATTACTACCTTACCTCTGGAAGAAAGTTATGCTTTTTTATAACCTGATACAGCATCTCATGAGTTTCAATAGCAGGTCTAATATCTCCCTTCAACACCTAAAATTAAATAATAAAATTAACATTAATTCACCATGCATAGGAATAGTATTTAAAGCTAGGCACACTCACTGTGTTCATGTAAAGCTACAGACCAATTTCTACACTTCCAGAAGATGAATATTGTAAATATCAACCCCTTTCAGTGTAAGCCATAGATATTCCACAAGAGGTTTTTACGCAAATTAGTGAGCTTATTAAGACGACTGCCTACGTAGAAAAAAGATCTCTATCACTGACAGAGAACGGTTGTGCAATTGCGGTTTAGTTTATCTTAAAGACGTAAATGGCACACAAATTACAAACTGGTCACTAGACTACGCACATGAACTTGCATCATAGCATTGAAGTGACAGGACAATTAAGTACAGAAATCCTCATTCAGCATTTCTGCAAATCAAATTACTAAGCTTAACTTGTGAATTATACATTCAGTCTAATCGTTTACTTAATATTAAAATCATCTGCACATAGGTTTTAAACGTTACCTGCAATCCAGGGAAGAAAGCTAGCAAAGAATCCATCCAGGTTCTAGCATTTAGCATTGGTTTATGAATATGAACATCAAGAAGCAGAGGTGGTTGGCTAATGTATCTCATTATGGCATCGTAGTGCTGACAAACATCAGAAAAATCATGAGTTTATATTATCAATACATTTTACGAAACAGATCTAGATCACCAGACTACAGCATTTCATTTGAACGGAAGAACCAGCACTACACTCCCAATCATTATTACATTTGGCAATGCACAGTAGTTTCTAGTTTTGCAAACTAAGAAGTGTAGTAAATACTGAAAAGCTCCACAGTATTACACATGCAATAATACACACCACATTTTCCAAGTAATACACATACACAAAAGTGTACTTGTCAGCTATGTAATAAACAAGTAACTATCACAGTTAAGGCACATTTGTTTTGGCTGAGTCTTTACGGACACGTTAAACAAAGCTGAAATTGCTTTCTCCGAACAACAGAATCCTAAAGCAAATGCATCTCAGGAGAAGGGGAAAAGGGAGTATAAAAAAAAACCCAACAAAGCAGTTGGAAAGGAGAAGAACTTTAAAACCCACTATCTCTCTTGTTAACTTGCTGACTTCCAATCCTATACTGCCCAAGATAACTGCCCTTCTTGTTTTCTGAAGCACAGAAGGTACAATCACAAGCACAGGAGTCAAATCAACAGGAAACAGCTAATAGACATAACTGAGACAATACAATATAATTATGTTGGCTGCAGGTTAGCAATATGAAATAATCATTACACTTAAAGTGTTGCAACAGGCCTTTAGCTACTGCATTATTCCAATTTTAATATTGCTTATTATATAAAATTATGCTATATGATAGAAAATCATTTTATAATATAAAATATTTTCATTGGCTATTGTTATTTTCAAAATAAATAAAACTTTTATGAAAGAATAATGATGGTGACAAAGCTGCTTAATAACCTCATGAATTTAGTAATCTAAGTGTGTTTTTCAGCTTGTAAGTATACTTAGATGTACACTGGGCCTTAGGATCTGCAAGTGCAACGCAAGATCCAGACTTTGATTTTCAGATCTTTTTTGTTGCTCCAGGACAGAAAGAAATTGTACCATGGCTTGTAATGAGAGGCCCTTACACTGTTTTATAGAAACATTTGGAGTATTACATGCTTCAAGGCGATCTTGAAATACAGCTTCTCCCGTACTAGAAACGGAAAAAGATCCAAAGATTCTGATTTTCATCGGATGGGATTAAAACAGCTGCTCAGGTGACAGTTCACTCAAGATTAGCAAAAACTCGTAGTAAAATGAGCTGGCACTAGGCACATCAGAAGTCACAGAAATTCCACTGAAGATCTCTTCATAGGCTTCTGAGGCTAACAGCTGGCTGACAATACCATTAGTCTCAAATTCGTCTTCCAGAAGGTACAAACCTGAGCAAGGTGTTAACTTACCGTGTTAAATCTTTCCAGGAAGCTGTCATCTCCCAACAAGACATAGGCTTTTAATAAATATTCATAATATGAATCTATTCCTGCTCCAACTCCACTATCTAGAAACAGCAGAAAATGAAAAGGTGGTTTTACTTTAAGTAGCTATATGGATATTTTCCCATGGTTTCATTTTAATTTTAAAGGCTCTTTCAGGAGAGGGAAAAGCCTCCTATCACTAGAATTAAGGCACTGATGGATGCAGACACACAATACTGTATGTCTATGATAAAGGCTTTGCAGTATCAGTGCACATAATAATATGAACAGACATGCATTGAAGGCAATTGTTTCACTTTGCTCATATGAAAATATTTCTACTGGCCGCCATAAACAACCACGGTCCTACTTATATTTTTCTTATGTATTTATTTATAGTAGAATCTCTGAAAATTTATCCCAAGGCATTCCCCTCTCAGTGTTAAAGTGGGCCAGAGAACACTTTCTTTGCAACGAATAAAACTAGTTTCTCTACCAAACACACTTTCAGAGCAAACCCAGGCTTCGTTGTAGCAGTTTCCTCCTGCACTGAAATTATGTAACTCCATTTGCTTATCCCATTAATATTTCTAAAAAGTCAAATAACTGTGGTTGGGGGTGGGGGGCGCGGGGCAGGGCAGGGGCACATCAAGATTCTTTTTCTTGCCCAAAACCACTTCCAGTTACTGATCCCGAGTCAGAACACCACACACCTTTGCGGACCCAGTCTCCGGTATGAATATTAATAGTAACACCCACTAAATTGCTGCTGCGCTGTCTCTTTTCCCAAATAAAATCAAGTGCTTTCCGTGCATATTCCTGCAACAACAAAAAATACTTATTAAAGTAAACTAGAGAAACACAGATACTAAGGACTGTTATTCTTCAGTCTATTGAAATCAAGATGTTAGGAAGTAACAGGATGTTTCATATCTAACAATTATAAAACTCAGTATTACAACACTGAAATAGTACGATATTCAGTCCACATTTTAATAGTTATTCCAATGCTGATTAGAAAGAATAGTGCTTGACTACACAACTATTTGCCAATATACTGTATGGTCTTGGCAAGTCAAATGTCCTTCTGCAGGGGTTTCCTACTCCAAAACTGCATTCTGATCCACCTACCCAAAAAACTATGCAAGCATTATCCCTTAGCTACTCTTCAGTATATTTGTCTTGTTTACTTCCATATTACTGTAACTACGTTCAAACAAAACTATTCCCTGTGGTTTGTTTTGTTTGGGGTTTTTTTAAAAAAAAAAAAAAAAAAAATTAACGCTTAGAAAAAAGCCCACAAACACAACAAATCTGAATACACGCGAACTTTTTGTGCAGAACAGCTAAGATATGCACACATTTCACGAACTCAAAATTGTTTTTCCAAAATTACAGAAATGTAGCAGAACAGTAACGAATACTTAATCCAAAAAATAAGATATCATGGAAAGCAAACCTCAAATATAGATGTTCCTGTGAATCGGCTTAAAGCTGCAAACTCAAGGATCAAGGTACCTGCACAAGCCGTACAGGTATCCGTTTCTGTTCCTGTTCGTGCTTCTGGATGTCTTACACCAAATTTTAAGTTAACCTAGAGAAAAATAAAGATTATCAACTATATTTTTATGCTTTTTCTAAAGGCAACAAAGAAAGATCACACTGCCCCCTTCAGTTTTGCTCTGCTTTACCACATACTGTCAACTAAAACATACACATAAAGTTATCCAGAAGTACCCAAAATACTCAACCCTTCAAAACAAGGACCAGCCCAAATACCTATTACCTGGTTCATTGGAATTTGGATAAAAGAATACCGCCCTGAAAATCTAGCAATGTATTTACCAGCAAACGAGGAACTCTGAACACAAGTGCTCACGGAAATTAAGCTTTGTAAATATCTTGCTACTCCTGGCTCCAGAGAATACCTGCTAGATGGACCTGCTTTTGTTGTGGGCACAACATAACTTTCTGCAGAGGGCCCTCTCAACAGAAGTTTGTCAAACCCTGAGCAGTGTGAATTAAACATTTTCACTAGAAAAATGCTGATTTACTGAGCCTAAATTTTTAATTTATGGGGAAGTTTCAAATCAAAGCTACATCTCACAAACTCAATAGATGATACGCATGGGAAGTAGTTTTCTGTCATGCAAAGGTATGCACCATGCTTTGTTTGAATACAATGAAAGTTTTTACAGTGACTATTTTTAGATTACAGCTACCTTTGCCTTCTTAAAAATGAGGATGTAGACCATGAAGATTAATCAGTTTATGCTAAATGCACAAGCAAGCGCTTGCAAGTTGCTCTTTGACTGTTTTAGTGAGAAATATGTACCAAAACAAAAACTACTCTCCTCAGCTACTTGGTGGCGCCTATAGTGGCAGGGGGGAAAAAAAAAAAAAAAAAAAAAAAAAAGGCACCAGACAGTGATTAGACAAGATTTCTGCTGTTATTATTTACTCACAACAATGTATATTAGGATTTTTAGAGCTGGAAATGCAGGTATTCAGAAAGCCTAAAACTGTATTTTAAAATACTAGGTAGCATGTATGACAAATGAGCAATTTATCAGCTTTTGATTTTCTGTACACTTAATAGACAAGTGATTTTATAAACAGATACAAAAACAAAACAACCAAAATTTTGCTTACGGAAGTAATCCTGAATTGCAGAAACCAGAGAACTTACTCTTGGATACGGGAGACCACTAGTGGTGTTAAAAGCAGGTAAAAGCTTGTAGCCTAGTTCCTTTGCCATGTGCAGAAGTTCACCATTGTACCACTGCATATATTCACCTTTTTCTTTCAGCATAATTGCCACTGAATGCCCACCTAGGAGACCTCTAAACACAAGAAAAATTATCCACATCTCAAAAGGTATATTCATCTGAACAGTAATGCAAAAATGTCTACAATTTAGATGACTATGTACATAACTGTGCTATATTCACACTGCCCTAATTTTCAGAAATGCTGAGCAGATGCAACTCCCAATTATAATCAAGGTTAACTGCCAGTATTTTGGAAGTAATTCTTATTGTTTAGGACTCAGACGTAAACTGTAAAGGAACCATTAATTCATCAATATAGTTGGTCAAGAATAACAACCAACACCTCTAAAACTGCATGTAACAGCTTGAAACTAACCTGCTCTGATGCTGCATTTAGCAGCAAGTTGGACCACAGACACCCAGAGGTCCCTTCCAACTTGAGATAATCTAAGTATCAAAATGTTCTACCCATTAAATTGGTGAGACTGTTTCCATTACAAAAAACCACTGCTACCTCAGCACGTGCAATTTTTTTTAATCAAGAAAAAAAGCTATGCCTGCAGCAGTTACATGGGGGTCAACTTGATTCAGTATCACTGCATCAATTCCTGCCTAGCATTTTAAAACCTTTCTTAGGGCAAGTGTCAAGCTACACTAACTGACAAAGGCACAACTGTTTTAGACGAGGTGAAATAGCACAGAAACATATGCCTTAAGGACATTCAGCTAAAAAACACATTTTAAGAGTTTTGAAAACATAGAAGTTACTCACCCAAGGACTCTTATATTGGTTTCAAAGACAGATACAACTATGTCGTTATCTAAATTAACATCCTTTATTACTTTTTTTACAGCCTCTTCAAACTCTTTGGTTTTATTTAACACCTGGAATACAAATGTAACCAGGTGTTTAGGTTCCAACATAGCTAGTACAGTCACACTCAGGTGCAGAAGAACAAGTGCAATGAATTAAAAAGGAGAACATTTAACATGTCTTAGATTGATATTCTGGTCCTGCAGGGGCATACTCTGATACAGCGCAGTTAGACATTAGTATTATTGTTTTTCTCATGAGATCCACAAAAGAGAATAAAAGCTGTGTGCAAACAATAAAATCACCAAGAATGTACTTAAACTATTACCAAGTATTTATTTGTTTGTTCCTTCCCCTACTCCCTTACCATAACTGTAGTGCAATAGGACTCAGTAGGCTGCAGGTTGTGCTGGCAAAGTGAGCAAAGACTGGCCTGCTCCAATTCCTCCAATTTCCCAGAAGCCTCCTAACCACGGACTCAGGAGCCACATCCTAAGTTTGGTGAATCATCCTAGCAGTCTTCCTCCTCCCAACTGTTTTTTCCCCTGTGCCTGAAGACAGCTCAGGCATTTCCTACAGATTTTCTTTCAGACCGACTTTCCTTTAGTTCAATTGACCTTTAAGAATCTTTGTGACTTATCCAATTTGTTATCATAAGTGCATTTAAATTCCACAAGTGTTAATCCTGATCTAAGACAAGAAAACAATAAATAACCACAATAATCCATCTGAGTGTCCGGTAGAGACTGGGATTTCCAGGCTCCACCTTTTCAACATTGAGGACCCGATTACAAAAGAGCCAATGGTCATCTCGCCACACATCATAAAAAGGGAACGGCTGTCAGAGAAAGAGCACTCTCTGATCCACACACCAAATCTGTGCGGTAAGAGTTTTCAAAACCTTTTAGATTTACCTGTAGATGTGTATGGCCAAAAATTCCTGATTTCGAAACTCTATCTTATGATAACAAAACATGTCAAAGGGATTGAAATCTAATGAAAAGTAGTTTATTAATGATTGGAATCTTTTAATAAGAGATGGAACGTAAGTTTGGGAACATTTCCTGGCAACTATGTCACGGGTTGCATTTTTTTAAACATATATTTAAGTGCATGCAAATTCATTGATGAAACACGTACATACAATTTAAAAACATAAATAATTCAGTAGGTATTAAGAGGTTTTCACCTATAAGTCAGCACGTTGCTTTAGACTATAAGGGGAAGCAAACTCACATACTTTTTTGTTAAGTTACAGCCCAAGAAAAGCAAGATAAGAAAGCATCAGTGAAATGTGAAGGAACCGTTCAAGTTTTCTTTTTGCACCAAACTCCAACCACCACCATTGCAGCACCTGGAAGTTCTCACAAGCAACTGCCACTTCAAACAGATAGCCAGAGATCAAAGGTGAAGAAAAATCAGAATTTTTAATGTATAATTTAAAAAAATGGAAATCTAAAAATAAGTCTAAGCATCAGAAGACAATCTTTCTGTTTTATCAGAGTTTATTAATGGATTAAACTTACCACAAGAGTGTCCAAGGTATCAATCAAGGTCAGTGAAAATCTATGAAACAAAATTTAAAACAGATTTACTAGAGACCTGTATGTGTAGAAAATAAATCATTTTTAATTGTAACCAATACTGTGGAAGAAACTAAAACTGCTAAAAAATCAGTTGTATACAATATGTTTAATATCAAAACACCCTACTAAGTTTCCTCTTCTTGTTAGCAACCAGAATAGGAACTGACTGAAACAAGCTATGATTATAAAGATAACTTTATTTACTGCAAAGCTTTCAAGCTTCTTGTAAGCATATTGTTTATTTCTAGTCTCCAATCAAATCTACTAAGAAACCCAGGAGAATGGTTCAAAGTCTTTTTCCATCCTCTTTTTTTCTTTCTTTTTCAAAAAACAGAGAACATTGCATTAAATGCAATAATAAAAAGAAGAAAAGGAAGATCAAAAGTCATTTGAAGCTAAATTTGTCCTACCAGAAACTGTTCCAATTACCTGCTTCAGAAGAGCTGCAATTTCTGACAATCAAATTCAGCATTAAAATTAGTGGTGAAAGACTAAAGAAAACACTGTTATTTTGTTACGAAACTCCCAAGTCAGATATAATGGAACAGGAAAAGGTACAATAAAGGGCAGTAAGGGGTGGCTTAAGGTACGTAGCAGCTTCTGTACTAGGAACAAGTGAACAGAGCAGTGCTCTTCAGCCTGCAAAAGCAAAAGCTTAAGCATCCTTACATGAAGATTTTAGAACTTCACATGGCATGAAGAAAGTAAATCAGAACCTGCTATTCTCTGTTTCTTACAGTACGTTTCACGCGGTGCACTCCAGCGCTAGCAAGTGGCAGGCTTAAAATAAAGAACTATTTATTCCGCAAGAAGAGAACATCAAGTCAGATCCTGTTTGAAACAGGAATATCACAATAAGGCTTGTCCTGTTCACATTCTTCTCTAGGCCCGTTCTAGTGTATACCGAGCTGAGTGGACCTTTAGCCTGCCTCAATAAAATTGTTCTTATGTTAAGAAACACATCCCATGCATAGACCAGAATTCACAGAATATGATGGCATTAAAATGGAAAACTTTGAAAACAGCTATAACTGCCTATTGAAGAACAAGCATCAGAAATGTAAACAAGTGCCCAGTGTTTGAGATCCTGTAGATAACACACAACTATGCATGGAGTGCAATTAAAATTCTAATTAAGTGGTCACGTATTATCATTTTCTTTAATTTGTGAAGATACGAGAGCATTCAGTGATTGTCATTCTACAAGAGAAAGAGATTAACTAGTGGCTATGCACAACTGTATAAGAACTACACAACCTTTTCTGTACAAAACCGGAGGAGATTATGCATTGCATAGCTATAGAGGAGGCCGGTGTACAAATAACACTTCTCAGTCCTCTAGGAAACCAGAACTGACCTAGCTGTCTCACCCTGTCATTTTCTGATTACAAAGGCTTGTAGAGAACATGACTGATGAGCCAGCTGGCAAGAAAAAGGATTATGTAAGAAATGTGATAAATAATAATATAGCTAATTATTAGGAACAGAAAAAAGCATGTACACAGATAAATAATAAATAAATACACTATTCAATGCAGCTAAGGGGCTGAAAGGCATTTTTACTCAAATGATAG